TTATATTATCAAGAGATCAATTTTAACCTATTAAAGTCTGAAGTAACTATTGAACGTCTTATCTGGGATAGAACTGAAAATGAGAAAATTATCAACACGTAGGTAAGGTTTAAAGCCATAGTAATAGAGAAGGTCATAGGAGAATGAGTACAAATAGAAAAGGAAAAGAAGTCCAAATATTTAGTGGTAATGCCAATATTTAAAAATCAAAGAGATAAAGTAGAACCAGAAAAGAAAACTGAAGAGAAGTAGTCAAAGATATAAAAGATAAATAAGTGACCATGGAATTCTGTAAGACTATATAAACTATTAAAAGAGAGATGTGATCACCTGAGTCAAATGCTGCAGATAGGCCATACTGAGATCTGATTAGCACCATAGAGGTCATTGGAGGTCATCAAAAAAGCACTTTCAATTGAGCAGAGGTAAAGCCTGATGGGGGTAGATTCAAGAGAGAAAAGGAGTGCTATCAAAAACAATTATTTTAGGAGTTTTGCTGGAAAAGGAAAGAGAGAAGTGTGGTAGTGGCTGAAGAGGGACGTGGAATATGAAAGGAGTTTTGCTTGTTTGCTTTAACAATTGGAAAAATAGCTTTTTAAATACACTGGTGGGAAAAATCAAATAGAGAGGGCAATGTTGATGAGACAGAAGAAAGAATTTCTGATTCAAAGTCCTTGACTAATGATAGGGTGTGATATTTGTAGCACTAGAAGATTGGTACACGAAGGCCATACATAGTAAGAGGAGAAATTGAAGAGTAGATTGGAACAGGCGGGTGGGTGCATGTGGTAATAGTTGTTTGTAGAGTGAAGGAAGCAAAATCATCTTTCCATGACTGTATTTGGGCCTCTTTATTTTCTGTAAGCAGCAAACTCAAAATCACTTACAGTAATAGAGAAGTCTAAGATTTTTTAATAAGACAACAAAGGACAACCCAGCAAAGCAGATGATAAAAACAAGATAAAAGTAGGAGTATGATGTGCTAAAGAAATAAATAGTGCATCCTGGAGACTCAAGTGTCAAGTGCAGCATTGTGGATCATTCTATTTAAAATTCTGATTTAACTGTTCTTTTTTCTTATTCAAATGAAGGTATAAAAATATATAACTTTAAAAATAAAATTTTAATTCATTAGTGGGGCTGAATACTAGTTTTCATTAGGAAGATGAAAACATTGAGCAATATTAGCAGCATTTATGATCTGTACTATAGTAATATAGGAATGTTCAATTCTAATTTAATGTACAATATGTTTTTGCATAAACCATATTTAAATGAATGGTATATTGATATGAATAATTACTATAGCTTTTCTTTAATGGACAGTATTAACCCCGTAACTATGAGAAATAACTATTAATCTCACCCAGACAGTAAATGTACTCAAAGTGTGGAATACTGTAAAATATGCACTGAACCAGTTTCACAAACATAAATATTATTTTCTGTCCTCAAAGCGTTTATATTATTTTTTAGAAGAATAAGAAAAATATAAACAAGTCATAAAATATGAAAAGAACATTTATAAAATAACATTACAATAATGGCATGGTAATTACAATAGCCCTCAAGGAAATAAAAATAAAAATATCTTTAGAGTTGGATGAGATTAGTTGAGGTGAATTCTTAGAAGAGAAGATTTGAAACAGTGTTTTGAGAAGGTAATTGACAAGAGTAAACTGAAAAGATTCCAAGAACGAACTCATACAAATATAGAGAGGCTGAAAGGAGAGAGGAGTAGCCATATTAAGTTTCTAAAGCAGGACTCATTGTAAGGATGAAGTGAGAAAGAGTTCCAAGTTATAACATTATAATTCTTCAGATACTAACAACAGTTTAACTGGTTAAAATATTTGAGTACATCTTTTAAAATAATTAGAAAATTATGTACCTTTTTCTACATACATTTTTATATAGACTTCAGGCAACAAGTTCCTCTGTATGGTCAATAGCCTACTTTTTTTTTTTTTTTTTTT